TGTTTGGTGAAATGACCTGGATGTAAAAATGGTTGTAGTGTTCCACCTCTTGTATTAATTGCATGTTTAGATACATATAAATGACCTGTGTCAAAATATGGTTTTAATGTGTCGAGGTCTTGTATTAATTACATGTTTAATAAAATGACCTGTGTCAAAAAGCAGTTTTAATGTGGCGAACTCTTGTATTAAATGCATGTTTAGTGAAATGACCTATGTCAAAAAGTGGTTTTAGTGTTCCATCTCTTGTATTAAATGCATGTTTAATGAAATGACCTATGTCAAAAAGTGGTTTTAGTGTTCCATCTCTTGTATTAAATGCATGTTTAGTGAAATGACCTATGTCAAAAAGTGGTTTTAATGTGTCGAGCTCTTGTATTAAATGCATGTTTAGTGAAATGACCTATGTCAAAAAATGGTTTTAGTGTGTCGAGCTCTTGTATTAAATGCATGTTTAATTAAATAACCTGTGTCAAAAAGCAGTTTTAGTGTTCTACCTCTCGTAGTTATTGCATGTTTAGTGAAATGACCTATGTCAAAAAGTGGTTTTCGTGTGTCGAACTCTTGTATTAAATGCATTAGTAGTGAAATGACCTAGGTCAAAACGCAGATTTAGTGTGTCGAGCTCTTGTAGTTATTGCAAGTTTAATGAAATGATTTGTGTAAAAAAGCAGTTTTAGTGTTCTACCTCTTGTATTTATTACATGTTTAATAAAATGACCTGTGTCACAAAACGGTTTTAGTGTGTCAATTTTGTGTATTAACTGCATGTTTAGTGAAATAACGAGTGGAAATGAAAACAACTACAATGAAATGACAATACTCTTACAAACCCATTTTGTTACGATATATCCAACACATTACGTGTATTACTATTAGGTACTTGTAGCAGAATCAAGATATCTATTATACTTTAATAGCTGAACCACTGTAGTTTAAATGCTTTGCTGGATATTAATTAATTGCTTTTCACATAATGCAACAAAATACCACCAGTGTTTTAGCCATTTTTTAATAGCTTGTTGAAATATAAAATAAGTATCATGTTACTTTCAACTAATCGTGTATTATGTATGGGATGATAAATTATAATAAATTGATAAATAATAATTGATAAATTGATAATAAACAAAAATAAGAAGTTTATAAGTACCTGTATATTTGTAATAAAAATTTTTACTTCTGTTTACAATTGTATTTTATTATTATAATCATCAAATATTTTATTTTCTATTTTTAATATATTCTTGAAATATAACATAATTATTAAAAATATTCTTAAAATATACATTTAAATAGAACCGTGATGTCTATTTTTTGTTGTACCTTAGAGAGTATTGAGAACATTATTATATTACTAATTATATAATTAATTAATTAGTTAATAGTTTGTATGCATTGGTTTAATGCCAATTATATTTAAATAGCGCTCTTATGTTATATTAGTAATAGAAAACATTAAGTTCATTTGAATATAACAATAAAAATTCTGTATACATTTTTATGTAACGTTTATATATTTTTAAATATTAATTTCATTGACGTATATTTGCAAAATTATGGTATTTATGTAAAGTTTATAGTTTATACTTTATAATATAAATATACTAAATATTATTTAGTAATCATTAACTAAATATCTACAATTATATTGATGGTATACATTATATTTTTATTTTTATTATGTTTTAAGTTGGAATAAAAAATTATTGTTTTCAACGGTACTATTATTTAAAATAAATCATAATTATTATTTATATTTAAAAATGTAATACAAAAATATAAATAAATAAGAAATTTAAAAATTAATAATATAAGTCTACAATAAGTAATTAATATATTAATACAACATGATTAATAGATTAAATAATTATAATAAAATGGATAAAAAGTTGTCAGTAATAAATGAATGGATTTATTTAATCGCATATAAAAACTATAGAAATGGTTTCGCAAAGTATTGCTCGAGTTTTCCTAATCGTAACAAAACTGTAAATAATTTATTAAATATTTTACTAATTATTGAAACAATGAAAACATTGCTATCGCTATACATATCTGACGAGTGGTTCGCTATAATTACCGGTGATTTTACTTATTATTGGCGTTTCAAACACTATTTCAAATATTTTCAGCTTAATGTTTATATCAGCGGTTTTATTATAAAAATCATATCACAATATAAAGTAACTGACATAAAACAAGTAATAAACACTTATAACATTCCTAACGTAAAACCAAATAAATACCAAACAAGCATAATTGATGTAGGTGACAAAATATTCATATTGAGCTTGTTCACATCAACATTTTTAATGTCATGGCTAACATTGTACAACATGGGTCAACCAATATCATATTCATTAACAATAGGTTTGCTATGGAGTCTAGTATTTGCCACGGCTTTTACCTTTTTGGGTGTGTCCACTACATTACACTACCCCTACGTTAGCGTATTATGTATGCGATCGAGATTTGAATTAAAACGTGGTAATATTAAACTCGCTACAATTTTAAATGAACATCAGCATTTAAGCAATCATTCTACAAGTAACTTGATTAAATATATACATAATAACCTTAATACAATAGATTTGCTAAATAGCGCATTATGTATGACAATGTTAATATTTTGGCAAATGTTCACATTTATTATATCGATATTATTAACCATGATGATTGATTTTGGATACAATATGCCCATGCTTATTAAATTAATATTTTCGTGGTTTATTCTAGTTGGGTTTTTAAGAATCAGCATTATTCTATTGTTAGCTGGTAGTATTAATACTGAAACTAAAACGTTGCATAAATTGCTACATAATTTATATACACATAGTTGTAGACAAAATAATAAGTATTATGTTAACTGGATTATAAAAATGAAGGTAAATTGTATTTAATAATTAGCGTTAATTTACTTATTTAAGGAATATTTTTTAAATATATAGCTACAGACATTAATAATGCGAGTATCTACATACAAAATTGGTATACATTGTTGGATACTATTTATTATTAATCAATTCACTTACTATGAGGTTTGAATTATAACTATAAATAAATGTTAATTTTAATATTGCATTATTATTTTATTTATTTCAGTTTGTTGCAATCACATCAGCTTTAACATTGAAATTATTAATAATTACACTAAAATAATTATAAAATAATGTGCAAATAATTAATTATTATCAGTCTATTTATTATATATTATAAATTAAGTTATGTCTTAAAGATATTTGTAAAAATTAACTGGTTAATACTGTAAATAATTTATTTGTATTTTTAAGCTATTACAACTGCACACAGATTTACTGTAACTTGTAACTAGTAACTTAATGGCAAAATAAACCGATGAATTTCATTACAATGAATAAATTAAGTTTTTTAAAATTTTTTAAATAACGAATATTAAATATAAACAATAATTCATGTGCATTATAAAACAAGTTCCACTCAGCAATGCTATACATTAACTACAATTCGGATATTCATAATAGATTTCAAATTTAAAATTGTAAATTAATTTTTGTTATTGTTTTAATGTTATTCTTAACAACTTGATAGTTAAAGCGCTGGTTATAATTATAAACTAAAATAGAAATATACTTTTAGCACAAATAATGTAAGATATTTTAAATGTTTATGCATACTAACCTCGTAATATGTAAATTGATTAATAATAAATAATACCCAACACTGAAAACCAATTTTACTTTCAGTAATTCTTAATATGAATGCCTGTAACTATGAAAATAAATATTATAATGATTAATTAATTCAATGAACATGAACAAATACAAACTTTAAGTTTCATAATGACATTGATACGATATTTATTATTATTTCTTGATATGTAGACATATAAATAAAATAATAATATATTCAGCCGTTTAGCTAATGCATTAACTCTACCGATTAATAATAATAGCATGGTTACTATTGACAATGCTGTACTGATAAACAAATAAAATATTAACTTGATAATTATATTCATTTCACCACCAAATTCAACCAGCATCGAAATTAAAATAGCTATGATTATTGCAAACATAAACCATAATGCTAACAATGTCATACAAAATGCCTTATTTAATAAATGTATTATGACAAAGTTATTATGTATATTAAGCAATATTTTATTTAAACTCCAATTGGTTATAGCTTTGTCATGTTTGGTGAGTAGCATGGTAATTTTTATATTAATATTGCTTAATTCAAATCTACATAGATTGCTGAATAGAATTATAAATGGGTAGTGCAATAGCGTTGAAACACTCATATAAGCAAAACTAATGCTAAATATTAGACTCCATAACAATCCTAATGTTGATAAGTATAACATTGAATTGTTTATTGAATATAATGTTATTAATGACATCAAAAATGATATATTAAATTGGGTAATTATAATATAATAATCTAGGAACTTTACTGCATTAGTTCGGCGTTTAGTAGGTTTGATTTTAGAGTTGTTATAAATATTTAGCACACGTTTGATGAATAAATATTTGTAATTAGATATAGATTTAATGATAAAACAATAGATGTAACAAGTAAGAATAAAATAATTAAAATAGTTTTTAAAACGCCAATAATAAGTAAAATCGCCGGTAATTATAGCGAACCACTCGTCAGATATGTATAGCGATAGCAATATTTTTAATGTTTGTATAAATGTTAATATATTTAATAAATTAATTACAGTTTTGTTACGATTTTTAAAACTCGGGCAAAATTTTGGAAAACCATTTTTATAGTTATTTAATGCAAATAAATAAATCCATTCATAAATTATTAACAACTTTTTATCCATTTTTATTTCAGTGAATTTATTTAATAAATATTTTACAAACACTTATTGTACTGTATTCATAAAATACTCTTGTTACAATACTTGATGTAATTTTCATTATTTAAACAATGATTGTTATAAGATGATAATTAGTTATTGTAGAATAATTAATAAATATATTGAAATATAATTATTATAAAATATGCAAGTTAATAGTTAACACGTGTGCGAACACAACAGTTACACGAATACAAAGTTCTTGTGGACTTTATTGTGTTTAATTATTATTCATCCAATTAATATTTTTAATTATTAATATATAAAGTTATCATATTATTTATATGTTGCTCTAAATAATTAATAATTAATTATGTTATTTTTAATAAATTATCATTATAGTAAACATAATAATTATATATTTATTGTATGTAATATTAATTAGTATATGTCTTTAAAAAATAATTATTAAGTTTACATTTTTATATACAGAACTTAAATTTGTTTTGTGTAATCATCCATTTATAGTTAAAGTTAAATTTGATAAAACTGTAATAAATTATATTTGATAATTATACAAGTTAATTCACTTAATACAAAACTTATAAATTGGCACAACACTACTAGCACACTATTTATTGTAATTAATCAATACTTGTTAGCACTAATTTTATATACTAAAATATAATAGAAAATAACCAACATGTGTTTTACAAATGATGGCATATGTTACAAAAATTTAATTTTTTTATATAATAATATACAGTAGTTTTTTAAATCTATTGATATTTATATACAGTAAACCAAATTTTTTGACAATAATTATTTTTATTTATTTAATAACTTTTATATATTTAAAAACTATAATTGTAATTGTTAATTATTTATAATAAGATAATAATATATTACATTAAATAATTCTAATAATTAGGCTTAAGTTTATTTTAACCGCTTATGTTTAAGATAATAGCATTGGTAATGAACTGTAAATAATTCGCAAACGTGTACATCAATACATTGTAAATAAAACCCATATGGTAAAAGTGGTATACATTGCGCACAGAATTTATTATATTTTACCTTAATCAACAATTGATTTTAATTAACAATGTTATTTAATTTAAATACCTTGTTAATTTTATCTACGGTCATAGCAACTATTCGGTGTCATAATTACTACAAACGGGATTTGGATATTAAAAAACATCACAAGTATTTATGTAAAAATTAAAATTAAATTAAAAACAAACAATTTTATTAATAAAAACAGGGGATCAGTAAACAAATGGCGGACACTATTAGCCATGCAATCAATGGACAGTCGCCTACCGGTGCTGAACGGGTTCAGAGCCGAGTCAACTAAACAGCCGATAGTAATCGACGACACGGGGCTCACAGTCATACCCGATAAGACAGTTATAACACTACGATTATTTGGCAACCATTTAATGGCCAAACCTGCTGGCACCGGGAAGTTAATGATAGGGTTTACCGCCCTTAAGGGCCAGACGGGCGACCCATGCGATCCATACAACGAGTTTGCTGTCCATAAAGTGGTCGATGATAGTCAAGCACTGGTCCGTATCAGCCTATCCGAGACCATTAGGGATGACCCGTACTATCTGTGTTACGGTACGGCACAGGCGGCCACCGGTGTAGCTATCGATGGCCCGCAACAGAGCACCCGTAGTCTCAAACAGTTACTGGGGTTAACACAAGTGCCGGCCGTTAAGTATACCTATCTGTCAGACAGCGATGCCTTGAAGTTGAGAGTAATTGGCCGGTCGTTGGCGGCCGGGTATGGAGCCAGTGATGGTCACCGGGACGCCAATGTGAAAATGAAGCTAGCTCAGATTTTGGATGAGGTCAACAAAATACATAGACTCACTGATGAGATGCAAGATTGGCGCGTTTGAACGAGTTTAATGTTTGTCTAGATTAATTATGTTTTTATTAAAAATAAATAATTTGAAATAATAATTCACTTAACTTACTACATTATATTGTTTATTTTATTTATTTTCAAAAAAATACAAAATTATTAATTAAATGTTATAATGTAGTTATTTAATTTTTCAATGGCACTTAATAGCCGAATTAGCACCGAGTACTTATTTGCACCGAGTACTTATTAGCACTGAGTACTTATTTGCACCGAGTACTTATTTGCACCGAGTTTATTCTAACCACAAGCAATTGCAATATGTTTAAACCTAGTTACAATTGTTATTTTATGTTTTATGATTATAAGAAATAATTGCAATGTTAGTTTTTTTTAAATATTTATAAGTTCTTAAATAAATGAAAATAATTGTCACAAAAATTGGGTAAATAATTTTAGCATTTTTTAATTTGTTTTTGGCCTTAATGTCAATACATAGCAAAAGTACAACTCATTTAAAAAGACATCAATTAATTCATTCAGAAATAAAACCATTAAAATGTGATTTTAATAATTGTAATAAGATTTGTAAACGTAAATCACAATTAAAACAACACAATCATCTAAACGTGAGTTAAGCATTCGGGCAAATAAGTACTCGGTGCAAATAAGTACTCGGTGCAATAAGTACTCGGTGCAAATAAGTACTCGGTGCAATAAGTACTCGGTGCAAATAAGTACT